CCATCACCACGCCCACATAAAAACCACCTTCACCACGCCCACACATACACCACCCTCACCACGTCCACACATACACCTCTCTCACCACGCCCACACATACACCATCATCACCACGCCCACACAAACATCTCCATCACCAGGCCCACACAAACACATCCTTCACCACGCCCACACATACACGCGCGTCTGTTCGTCCATTCACAAATTATTCTCGGACGACTTCGTGATTCGCGCATTTTGGAAATCGTCAAAAACTTTCCACAAATTTCCTTCAAACACAAAACCGTAAGTGTCATAATATGTTATTTTTCATCCTCATTATATCAACGCTAAGTATTTTCACGTTGTCTTGTTATCGAGAAATATGAGGAGCCATTGTAAGCACCCAGGAGTCGTCTTACTGGTCGTTGGAGTCGTCGTCATCTTCGTCGGTATTCGGTCAAGTTTTTCCGTCTCGGTCAGCAGCCATAAAGAGACGCTCACGAAGGTCTTTGGTTTTATTGCGACGTTCTGAACCTTAATAATAATAATAATAATAGTATATGACTGTGTGTGTGTGTGTGTGTGTGTGTGTGTGTGTGTGTGTTAAACTATCATGACACAGTGGGAGGTCTCCATCACCGTCCTGGGGCACTTTGGGTCAGCTTCCGGTGGTCAACACAGGCCAGAGTGCCAAGAGCCACTACGTGACCTTTAAGACTTGGCACTCCCACGTACCCGCTGTGTTTCCTTGTGGTCATGACACCCACATACACTGTATACTGAGGGTGGCAACTCGTTGTTGTGGTCAGGTGTGTTAAGTGAAGGTGTGTTGTGGCCAGGTGTGTTAAGGACACGTGCTGTGGCCAGATGTGTTAAGGACACGTGCTGTGGCCACATGAGTTAAGGATGTGTGTACGTCGCGTGATGTCTTGTTAAGAGTATAATATAGCGTCACCAAGTGATTGGTTCTGCCTCACCCATACTAGGTGTGGGCCACACATCCGCCCTCACCCTTCCTTCCCTCTCCCTTCCTTCTCTCTCCCTTCCTTCTCTCTCCCTTCCTTCTCTCTCCTTTCCTTCCCTTTCCTCCCTCCCTCCCCCAGTTCCTCTTCCTTCCTCACTTCACACCCCTCTCTGTCCCTCATCCCACCCTCCTCTCCCCCTCCTACCGCTAATATCAGACAATTGACACCTTGTGCTGTTGCTTGTACTTCATTTGTTTATGCCCCTACTCTGTGCGTGCATGTGTGCCATCATGTCATAATCTCGGTGTCAGTGTTACTATGAGATCTACAGGAAGTAACCGAAGGACCCCCGAGAAAACCTTCCGTGTTTGGTAGTGTCACATCCTCACTGATGGGCTCGAACCCGGGTCGCAATTGTGAGAGGCGAGCGTATTTACCAGTGATGTCGACAAGTTACAGATCATTGTCAACACTCGCCTACGACCCACAAAATTGTCTTCTATTTCTTCGTATTTTTTTTTCTCAGCATTTTTAGAGACATGTTTGAATGGGCTGCTCATTAATGTATTAATTTTGTATTGCTGTAGTCAAAAAATAATGTTTATTCATCTTCATTAACCTAACATTATCCTTTCCTCTCCTAATCCTAACGTAACCTAATCTAACCAACCCAAACTAAACAAGATTCTTTTCTTTCTTAATCTAACCTAACCTTTCCTATCCTTTCTTAATCTAACCTAACCCATCTTTCCTCACCTAACCTAACCTAAGACTAATCAGCTCACCAAGAATATATTACGCAACACACACACACACAAAAAACGAGTGACGTCACAGTAAGAGAACCAATCACATGCTCTTAAAATCGTCTCACTTTACGTCGCTTGGAAATAGAATAATAATAAAAAAAATGGACCCAACTTTTCCTCACGTTATTGCCCCAGAGACAAAGGCAAAGACTCACCTTAATTATTAATTATACTTGGAACTTGGTGTTTAATTTCTCACCTGAAAAAAAAATTATTAAACGGCAAAAAGTTTAATTTAAATCCCCTTTACCGTAATATTTTCGTCTTGAGAGTAAGTGTTACCAGATACATGAGAGGTATCCTGAAAGACATTGTTACCAGATAGATGTGAAACTTACCTGTAAAACACTATTACCAGATAGATGTGAAACTTACTTGAAAAAAATTATACCAGATGTAAAATGTACCTGAAAAAAACTGTTACCAGATAGATGTGAAACCTGAAAAATTGATGTTACCAATTAAAAGTTATCCTCGGAGAAGCAGTGTTTCCAGAGACAAGTGAGAGTCGTACTTGAGGTGACACTTGACTGATGATACAACATCCTGACTCCACCGAGCTACACCTCAATTGGTACCAAGACTGATGCAGTTCATTTTGTAACATAGTCTCTGTTCTGTCTCTTCTCCGGGCTCTATCTCTCTTCTGGCTCTTTCTGTCTCTTCTGTCCCTTCCCCTTCTCGCCCCCGTCCCTCTTCCGTCTCGCCCCGTCTCTTCTGTCTTTTCCCCGTCTCGCCCCTTTCTCTCTTCTGTCTTTTCCCCGTCTCGCCCCTCTTCTCCCTTCTGTCACGCTTCCATGGACAAACGGATGTATGTCAGCGCCTTGCAGGAACAACCGTCTTGCTGTCCATCCGTCTCACTGTCCGTCTTTCATGTTATTCTTCCGTCAAAGATTCCGGTGCTCCGTCCATTCTTCACGCTGTTTGATTTCTGTCGAGGATTCTGTTCACACACACCAGGACTCCTGAGGGTTGATCTGCCTTCTGCTGTATAAGGACTTACGAGTTTGCACCTTAGCAACGCATTAGTGGAAGAACACTGTGTGAAGTGATACAACACTCCCTCTACCTACATGGTGTGTGTGTGTGTGGTAGCGACACAACACCACACAACACCAAGTACCCTTCATGTGTTATTGTTTACTCGCGTTGACAGGTAGGGAGGGAGGGAGGGAGGGCGTGGTGGTGACGACGCCCAGCTAGTGAATATACGGTGGAGTGTTGGCGTGGGCGACATAGGTACACCCGGACACTACCACCACCAGCAGTGTTGACCCTCGCCACCACCATCAGTGTTGACCCTCACCACCACCACCAGTGTTGACCCTCGCCACCACCACCAGTGTTGACCCTCGCCACCACCACCAGTGTTGACCCTCGCCACCACCACCAGTGTTGACCCTCGCCACCACCACCAGTGTTGACCTCGCCACCACCACCTGACCACCACCACCACCAGTGTTGACCCTCGCCACCACCACCAGTGTTGACCTCGCCACCACCACCAGTGTTGACCCTCGCCACCACCACCAGTGTTGACCTCGCCACCACCACCAGTGTTGACCCTCGCCACCACCATCAGTGTTGACCCTCGCCACCACCACCAGTGTTGACCCTCGCCACCACCACCAGTGTTGACCTTGTTGACCCTCGCCACCACCACCAGTGTTGACCCTCGCCACCACCACCAGTGTTGACCCTCGCCACCACCACCAGTGTTGACCCTCGCCACCACCACCAGTGTTGACCTCGCCACCACCACCAGTGTTGACCCTCGCCACCACCACCACCAGTGTTGACCTCGCCACCACCACCAGTGTTGACCCTCGCCACCACCACCAGTGTTGACCCTCGCCACCACCACCAGTGGTGACCCTCGCCACCACCACCAGTGTTGACCCTCGCCACCACCACCAGTGTTGACCCTCGCCACCACCACCACCAGTGTTGACCCTCGCCACCACCACCACCAGTGTTTCTTCGCCACCACCACCACCGGTGGTGACCCTCGCCTCCACCACCACCAGTGTTGACCCTCGCCACCACCACCAGTGTTGACCCTCGCCTCCACCACCACCAGTGTTGACCCTCGCCACCACCACCACCAGTGTTGACCCTCGCCACCGGGTTGTCACGCCACTACACGAGGCTACAGGTGTGGGCTCGCCTTCTCCTAAATATTGTGACTTAAAAAGTAAGAAATGAGAAAGGAAAGTGATTGTGGTTGTTATGGTATCCTGAGGGTTGTGGTAGGTGGCAGTAGTGGTGGCAGCAGTGGTGGTGGTGGTACTAGCGGTGTGGTGGCCCGAGGCGTGTGGCAGGTGCTGGGCGTGACCCTCCTAGCCAGCCAGCGCGTGGGTTCACTCCACACTTAACACGCATTATATACCTTTATATGGAACCTTTAATTGTACACCATTATTGAATACACAGGTAATTACTCCCTACACCTTTACTGCCACTCCCTCAGTAACCACCAGCCACGGTGCTTGCCTGCCTGCGTGGTGTTACTCCACTACACTTTGTCAAACCAATGTTTATGTTGGAGCTGTGTAAAAGATTATGTCAAGGAATTTATAGTGTGTGTGTGTGTGTGTGTGTGTGTGTGTGTGTGTGTGTGTGTGTGTGTGTGTGTGTGTGTGTGTGTGTGTGTAACTATCTACTGTATAATTATCGTCAAGTACCTTTTCCGGTTTAAAAAATCAAATCTTTCAGGAGTTTTAAACGCTTCTTTATGGGTTTAATTCTGTTTATACATCAATACTTCAATTACATTTCTCACCCTTCAACATCAGCGGTCATGTGATGTGACGTCACCCACACACACCCCCTGGCTCTCCTCTCTCGACCTGACCGACTGTAACAAGACGAAATATTTATCTCTTATTCCGATGTTTTGTTAATGATGGTAAAACATTTTTCTTCAGCTCAAACAAAGGAATTATGTTGAGTAAATTCCGATGTACCGAATAAACTGCTGTGTCTAGTTAGTTAGGACACACACACACACACACACACACACACACACACACACACACACACACACAATGTTGAGTTTTACATGTTAATTAAAACAGCTTTACCATTCTGCCTAACGTGTATAAACTCTGGTAACTACTTTAGTCCTGTTGATACTCCTGGGGTGTGTCCTGGCTACATCACGCCAACAACACTGTACAACCATGACACTAAATAGTTACTGAATGATAGGATCCAGATGATGATGTTCCCACTATTACTCGTGATGTCAGAAGCCATCCCCGGGGTACAGGAGTTAGGGGAAGTGCTCTTAAGTGGGTGACGTCAGATGAGTTCTTTTTAAAATGTATTTGAATATTCATAACTTTGTATAAATTTATCTTTAAACAAATGTAATTGAGTATTCCGCTGATGGGACCCATTATAAGAACTTCGGTTCATCTGAAGAATATCCACCCCAGCTTATTTCACCTGAAGATTAATCACCCTAACACTATATGCAGGGTGTCTACTGGTCTGGAAAACCGGGAAAAGGCAGGGAATTTTTTCAAGTAAACCTGGAATTTTATGTGAATTCAGTTCAACTTCAATATATTTTTATTTTGACAGCAATCTTACCATAAATTAATTATGTACAAATTCCAGTAAACAGTCCACTCCAATAACTGAATTGTTTGTGTGCCTCTCATATTTCGTGTTAGCGATCAAATAACCAAATTACAGGTTATATCTACTAATTCTGCAATGGGTATTGTCGAACATGAATTGTTCTTATAATTAAGTGACTTTATTTAAGTGGATTATTCCACATATTTATCATGAGTCATGTAGTGTGATTTTCGGTTTTTGTCGAATTTCCTGCAGTTTTGGAACATCCAGGTCGGCCCACGAGAATCGGACAAATCCGAGGAGAAAAATATGGAGGGTCAAGGTCTTTGCCGATGTTCATCACTAGGCCTATTGATCATTCTGATCATAGCTGGTCTTCAATTTCTTGATTACTATCATATATGTCTTTAAATTTCCCAATAGTATAAACATATTGAAAACCTCTAATTTTTTTATTCCGACGAAATTAATACCATATTAATGTACTTGGAATTTTTTAATATATAACTGGAAAACCCAGGGAATTATTTTTGGCTTGTCAGTAGACACCCTGATGTACGGAGATGAGGTTAGAGGTAGGGTGGTTAATATTAAGCCGTGGTTGTGGTCAGGTGTGTTGTGCACATCACCTGACACACCATGTACTCCTAAACAAACATCACCGGATATTCTTAAGTGATCAGTTTACACAGTCCCACAGCCTGATGGTGACGTCATACAGCGACAAATGTTACGTCGCATATTAAACGTTGACGAATACAACTGTAAACCTTCCTCTCAAAGATTAAGTAACAAAAACGGGTCTCTCTCTCTCTCTCTCTCTCTCTCTCTCTCTCTCTCTCTCTCTCTCTCTCTCTCTCTCTCTCTCATTACATTAAACCTCACCATATTAATACAGTCATGTCTTTACAGCGTGCAACTGTAACCTCCACGCGCGTCGATGTCGGTTCAACATGGAGCTGTACAAGTTGTCGGGGCGGGTGAGTGGCGGCGTGTGTCACCGGTGCCGCCACAACACTGCCGGCAGACACTGTCACTACTGTAAGGAGGGCTTCTATCGTGACGGCTCCAGACCCATTATACATCGGAAGGCTTGTAAAGGTATGTCCTAACTACTGACGGTGGTTCCTCCTCCTTCAGGTATTTTATTGTTGCTTGTTCTACTACACCACCACCTGTACACCTGCACCACCACCTGTACTACACCACCATCTGTACTACACCACCACCTGTACACATTGCCTCACCACCTGTACACCTCCCTCACTTCAACATCAGTTTAATTTATATGGCAAAGTTGAAGACCTTCTGTTTATAACGACTGAAACTCTCTCTCTCTCTCTCTCTCTCTCTCTCTCTCTCTCTTAGATATATAACTATGTGGCAGAGAGAGAGAGAGAGAGAGAGAGAGAGAGAGTTCATTTTAGGGAAGTGTCTACACATTAATGTTACTCTTACGGTCGACACTATCTACTGTACAGGATCTGGTAAAAAACAAGGTGACGTCTCTTTAAACCAATTATATATGTGTATTACGTCTCTTTAAACCAATTATATATGTGTTACGTCTCTTTAAACCAATTATATATATGGCGTATCTTTAAACCAATTATATATGTGTTACGTCTCTTTAAACCAGTTATATATGTGTGTTACGTCTCTTTAAACCAATAATATATGTGTTACGTCTCTTTAAACCAATTATATATGTGTTACGTCTCTTTAAACCAATTATATATGTGTTACGTCTCTTTAAACCAATTATATATGTGTTACGTCTCTGTAAGGTATAGTTTAGATGTTGATATATATATAGACTTTCCTATAACTCACAACATTGTGCTATATTAGTGACCATACGTATCTTTGTCTTGTAATTTATTGGTAATGTTTATCTCAGTTCCAAGGTAAGTGAATCCTCCCCATAAATATTTTAGCTTGGGAAACGTGGAGATGGAACCGTGGCCCTGTACCTCATAGCTTGGGAAATGTGGTCTCTTACAGTACCTCATAGCTTGGGAAACGTGGCCTCTTACAGTACCTCATAGCTTGGGAAACGTGGTCTCTTACAGTACCTCATAGCTTGGAAAACGTGGTCTCTTACAGTACCTCATAGCTTGGGAAACGTGGCCTCTTACAGTACCTCATAGCTTGGGAAACGTGGTCTCTTACAGTACCTCATAGTTTGGGAAACGTGGCCTCTTACAGTACCTCATAGCTTGGCAAACGTGGCCTCTTACAGTACTTCATAGCTTGGGAAACGTGCCACATTTCCTTCAATCACATAATCACCGTTTTATATGTACCATGTCTAAACTGACCCCATTTTCTCAACCCCATTAGAAACAGATTCACATTAACACGAACACCTCGCCTCATAGATTAACCCATAGCATAGTAATGGAAAGGGGGGTTGAATCACCTCATTTGCACATATATATATAATAAAGGGATTGCTGGATGTTAATAAGACATAAACATTCTTCCATATTAATGTACATTGTTTATGGTTCATCACTTTGTAACACATGGAGGGTAGTGACGAGTGTGTGTCTTACAGTGGGACGATGAGATGAGTCAATATACCTATAGGGGTGTAGTGTTTAAGCCTTGTTCATTTACATACGTGGTCCATACTAGGGGGAGAGGGTCCATATATCAGTAGGGTCGTGTAGGGGGTCCATATATCAGTAGGGTCGTGTAGGGGGTCCATATATCAGCAGGGTCGTGTAGAGTTACATATAGCAGGGGTCGTGTAAGGGTCCATATATAGCAGCAGGTCGTGTAGGGGGTCCATATATCAGTAGGGTCGTGTAGGGGGTCCATATAGCAGCAGGGTCGTGTAGGGGGTCCATATAGCAGCAGGGTCGTGTAGGGGGTCAAAACAGTAGCCGGGTCGTGTCATAGAGGTGTTATGGGTGTCAGGGAGTGATGGGTGGGGACGTTGGGTGTATATTAAACGCCAAGGGGAGGTAAGGCCCCGGGTGTAGGTGTAGAAGGGGAGGGGGTAGAGCTCAGTCGGGGTGTTTGAGGATGGATTGGGTGTATGTGGTGTGGTGTGATGTGGTGTGGTATGGTGTGGTGGTGTGTGGTGTGATGAGGTGTGGTGTATAGGGATAGGATCTATAGTAGAAGATTTTCATTAAACGGCGACAGTTAAAGTAAAAACGAGAATCAGCGGCAGGGAGCAGTACCAGGAACGTGAATTTACAACAGGAACAACAAGATTCAGGAACAGGAAGAAGGAGCAGCAGAAGAAGAAGAAGAAGGAGGTGGAACATGCGGGAACAATAAGCAGCAGCAGAAGCAAGAATAAGAAGCAGCAGCAGCATCATAAGCAGGAACAAGAAACAACAGGAGGAAGAACAAAAAGTAGCAAAAGGAGCAGAAGGAGGAGGAGAGAGGCGGTGTGGGGCCGGGGTTGTGGATCTAACACTCCACTCTGGATACATTCATGAGCTGTTCTTTCTCCCGACTCCTGGCGAGCTCTCGTCTGACAATGGACCAGCAGAGGGAAGAAGTAGAGAGGGATGGGGGGAGGGTAGAGACGGCGTGGGGGAGATGATACAGAGGGCAGGGAGGAGTTAAGAGAAGGGGAGAAGTTAAAGAGGGCTGGGGAGGGGAGAGGCTAAAAGGGCAGGTGATGGGGGAGTAGAGAGAGAAAGAAATGGAGGTGAGGGAGAATTGAGCAAGGAAAGTGAGACAGTAGAAAGAGAAAGAACGGAGAGGGTAGCAAAATGAGCAGGGAAGAAAGGAGTGGAGAGGCAGGGAGAGGATGGGGGAGGGACAATAAGAAGGGAGAGGTCAGGGAGACAGATGAGTGAGTGAAACAAATAACAATTCTCCCCAGCCTCAATGCCAGGTCTTGGTCACTCAGAGGTGCCTCAGTGCCAGGTCACCCGGGGTGCCTCACTGCTCTACACAGGACACAATCTTCCCCTCTTCTCTTTTTCTGTACCTTTGAGGAAGGAAAAATTATGTGTAAATGGATATAAATAAAAGAGTGACATGACAGTAAACGTTTTCTATAAAATTAAGGCGAGGTTTTGTTGAGTTATAACCCCAACAGCCCCACACCCCTCCTCCTCCCTCTCCAAGTCCGAGGAGACTCAGGGGAAATATTACCATTTTTTTTACTCCCCTCTATCTTTTTCTTTAAAAGTTCTTACACACACACACACACACACACACACACACACACACACACACACACACACACACAGCTTTGTAAAAGATTCAGGAAAAATCAGCTAGCCGGAGAGGAGTGTGCCCAGACACAACACAACATCGTCAGTGTTACAGGTGAGCTGCTGTGCTCCTGCAGGTGGCCACTCCCCCGGGTGTGTTGTGGTTAACGCCCAGAAAATGACCATTATCCACCAGGAGTTGCGAACTGTCTTTTATATTTATATTTTTCACAAAACACCATGTTAAGGCAGGGAACCTTCACTTACACCCAGCGTGGTGCTCACTGGAGAGGTACACGAGGTGGATGGAGCCGAGTTGACCACACACGACCACCTCCACCTATTCCTTCCTTGACCTTTGAACCTTGTGTGTGACCTTGACCTCTGGTACATCATCTTGAGGTCAATATTTGACATAAATAATCAACTTACCCTCGTTATGTCTGAGGGTCGGCGACCACGGTCTCTACTCTGAACGTTTTTAGTCAGATACATACTTAGAATTTCAGTTGAATTCCTTTATTGACTCAAAAGTGTGGGTCAATCTAATGGACAGACAGACGAAAAAAGAGCCGACTGTATCATCCCACGTTTTTGAGAAGCATAACAATTGTGAATTTATACTGTGCATTATTATTTCGATTTGTTTTTATTTATAATACTTAAAGTCTGTCTTGTTGTGTAGTTTTTATTCAAGTTGGCTGAGGAACCCGACACCCTTCAACCTGTGTGTGTGTGTGTGTACGCGAGATAGTCATACAGCGACAACCACATCAATGAAACACAAGACAGCGGCGGTGTGTTGTGACGAAACCATTGGTAAAGAAACACACCCAAAGACTCCTCTCTCGTATGTGTATAAAGCTTCCTTAATGTATACTGGATATATAAGATAACCAGTGTGGAAATAGTATGAAAATTATGACGTTAGTAGGTGGGTGTGTACCGTGGGGCTGAGGCTATTATTTTTACGCCTCATTACGTAAACATGACGGACTGTCTGTACACGACCCCTCACCAAAAACATACGTACGCCCTCTCACAATATACCTACATGTACACTAACCCCGTCCACACACACACACACACACGTACGGGCAGAGAAGAATGAGTATATGTGAGACAAGGAAGGTGTAGGGGCGTAAGTGAGGATTGGAGGAGCAGGAGGCCAGTGTGTGTGTGTGTGTGTGTGTGTGTGTGTGTGTGTGTGCACACCTATCAAACCCCCACCCTCCTCACTCTCACTCTTCCTCCTCTCCTCTTCTTCCTACTGCCCTTGTTTATTCTAATCCCTGTAGTCTCTCTCTCTCTCTCTCTCACTAATTAGTTTTCCATTTCCTTCTTTCTCGCCTCTCGTTCACCCGCTCTTTATCCACTCACTCTTATTTCCTCCTTCCTTCCCTCACTCCCTTTCTCTCACTGGTTACTCTCTCACTCTCATTCTATCCTTCCAATATAGCAAAGGTGGGGGGAGGGGAGGCGAGGAGAGGGGAGGGAGGGAGAGGGGAGGCAGGGAGAGGGGAGGGAACACAGTTTACAAGGACAGATACTGCGGCCAGCTCCAGTGGTAATACCATAATACCATTAATGTTAATTATATAACACGTGGATGTGAGCCCCGACCTCTCTCACACCCTGTCACACCCTCTCTCACATCCTGTTACACCCTTTTACACACATACCTCTCTCTCTCACCCTGTCTCATACCCTCTCTCAGACACACACCCTCTCTCACACACGCACCCTCTCACACCCGTCATCTTATGGCCGTGTTCCTTTGCCAACGCTATTACTTCCTTGCTATCACACCCTCTCACCTCCTCTCTCACACACACCCTCTCTCACACATCCTCTCACACACCGTCTCTCACACACACCTCTCACACACCCTCTCACACCCTCTCTCACACACCG